CATATTAACCATCACCATAATCAAGGTAATGAACATATCCATCACTGCCCAAGTCTCCTGGTGTTGTTTTGTTGTTTTTGTAGTAACAACATTTAACATGAGGTCTGTCCTCTTAACAAATTTTTAAGCACATTACTTTACTGCTAACTACTGGCACAATGTAGTACAGCAGATCTCTGGAACTTACCTTGTAGAACTGTAACTTTATCCCCATTAAAGAAGAACTCCCCATATCTCCCTCCATTCCCTGGCAACCACCATTCTATTTTCTACTTGTATAATTTGACTTTTTAAAATTTATTTATTTTTTCTCTGTTTTTTTTTAAATTGAAGTTTAATTAACATACAGTATGATATTAGTTTAAGACATACAACATAATGATTTAACAACTGTATACATTACTCTGCACTCACCACAAGTGTAGTCACCATCTGTCACTGAACGATGTTACAATATTAATGACTGTATTGCCTATGCTGGACTTTCCTGTGGGCTTATAGAATAGTTTATGACTAGAAGTTTGTACCTCTTAATCCCCCTTATCTATTTCACCCATCCCCTGCTACACCTACCCTCTGCAATTACCAGTCTAGTTTTTTGTTGTTTGTTTCTGTTTTTTTAGATTCCACATATAAATGAAATTACACAGTCTTTCTCTGATTTATTTCACTTAGCATAATACCCTCTAGGTCTATCCATGTTGTTGCAAATGGCAGGATCCCATCTTTTTTATGGCCGAGTACTATTCTGTTGTGTGTATGTATGCACATCTTTATCCGCTTATCTATGGATGGATACTTGGGTTGCTTCCATATTTTGGCTATTGTAAATAATCCTGCAACAAATGTTTATAAGGGAATGGTCTAGTTTCATTCTTTTGCATGTAGGTATCCAGTTTTCCCAACACCATTTGTTGAAGAGACTGTCCTTTCCCCGTTGTATATTCTTGCCTCCTTTGTTGTAGATTAATTGACCATATATGCATAGGTTTATTGCTGGGTTTTCCATTTTGTTCCATTGATCTATGTGTCTGTTTGGGGGGCAGTAGTGTCCTGTTTAGATTACTACAGCTTTGTCATGTGTCTTGAAATCTGGGATCGTGATACCTCCAGTTCTATTCTTTCTCAAGATTGCTTTGACTGCTTGGAGTCTTTTGTGGCTCCATAAAGATTTTAATATTATTTGTCCTAGTTCTGTGAAGAATACTTTTGGTGTTTTGATGGAGATTGCATTGAATCTGTAGAATGCTTTGGGTAGTGTGGGCATTTCAACAACATTAATGCTTCTAATCCTTGAGCATGGAACATCTTTACATTTGTTTGTGTCATCTTCAGTTTCTTTCATCAGTGTCTTATAGTTTTCAGAGTACAGATCTTTCATTTCCTTGGTCAAGTTTATTCCTATGTATTTTATTCTTTTTGGTGGATTGTTTTCTTAACTTCTCTTTCTGGTAGTTCATTATTAGTGTATACAAATACAACAGATTCCTGCATATTATTTTGTATCCTACAACCGAATTCATTTTATAAGTGTTTTGGTAGAGTCTTTAGGGTTTTCTGTATACATTATCATCTCATCTGCAAATAGTGGCGGTTTTACTTCTTCCTTACCAATTTGGATGCTATCTATCTATCTATCTATCTATCTATCTATCTATCTATCTAATTGCTGCAGCTAGGACTTCCAGTACTCTATTGAATAAAAGTTCAAGAGTGGGCATCCTTGTCTTATTCCTGACCTTAGAGGAAAAGCTCTCAGTTTTTCACCATTGAGTATGATGTTAGCTGTGGGTTTTTCATATACAGCCTTTCTTATGTTGAGGTACGGTCCCTCTGAACCTATTTCATTGAGAGTTTTTATCATGAGTGAATGTTGTACTTTGTCACATGCTTTTTCCACATCTGTTGAGATCATATGATTTTTCTTCTTCGCTTTGTCTGTGTGGTGTATCACACTGGTTGATTTGCAAATACTGAACCACCCTTGCATCCCAGAAATAAATACTACTTGATCATGGTGAATGATTCTTTTAAATGTATTGGTGGATTTAGTTTGCTATTATTTTCTTGAGGATTGTGCATCTATGTTCATCAGAGATATTGGCCTGTAGTTTTTTTGGATTTTGTTTTGTTTTTGTTGTTTGTTTGTTTGTTTTTTGTAGTGTTTTTATCTGGTTTTGGTATCAGGATAATGCTAGTCTCATAGAATGACTTTGGAAGTTTTTCTTACTCTTCTATTTTTTGAAATAGTTTGAGAATAGGTATTACTTCTTTTTTAAATGTTTGGTAGAATTTACCTATGAAGCCATCTGGTTCTGGACTTCTGCTTGTCCAGAATTTTTTGATTACTCATTTAGTTTCATTGCTAGTAATTGGTTTGTTCAAATTTTCTGTTTCTTCCTGATTCAGTTTTGGAAGATTGTATGTTTCTAGGAATTTACCCATTTCTTCCATATTGTCCAATTTGTGGGTATATACTTCTTCATAATAGTCTCTTAAAAGTCTTTGTATTTCTGTGGTGATAGTTATTATTTCTCTTTCCCGTCTGATTTTATTTATTTGAGTCCTCTCTTTTTTCCTGATGAGTCTCTCAAAAGTTTCATCAGTTTTGTTTATCTTTTTGAAGAACCAGCTCTGGTTTCATTGATCTTTTTTATTGTTTGTTTGTTTTTGTCTCTATTTCATTTATTTCTGCTCTAATCTTTGTTATTTCTATCCTTCTATTAGCTTTTGGCCTTATTTTTCTTTTTCTGGCTCCTTTAGGTGTAAGATTAGGTTGTTTATTTTAGATTTTTCTTGTTTTTTGAGGTAGGTAGACCTGTACTGCTATAAACTTTTCTCTCAGGACTGCTTTTTGTTGCAGATTTTGGACTGTTAGTTTTTGATTTTCATTTATCTCTATTTATTATTATTTTCTTTTCTTTTTTATTTCTTGGTTGATTCATTCATTTATTAGTAGCATGTTTTATGCCTTCCATGTATTTCTGTTATTTCGATTTTTTTCTTGTAACTGATTTCCGGTTTCATACCACTGTGGTCAGAAAAAATGCTTGATATGATTTCAGTCTTGAATTTATTGAGACTTTGTTCTAGTTTAGCATGTAATCTGTCATAGAGAATCTTCCATGTGCACTTGAAAGGAATGTATTCTGTTTTCTGTTTTCACTGGACTGTTCTGTATATATCTGTTAGGTTCATCTGGTCTCTAATGTGTCATTCAGAGCCACTGTTTCCTTGTTGATTTTCTGTCTGGATGATCTGTCCATCAGTGTAAGTGAGCTGTTAAGGCGCCCCACTATTATTATTGCATTATTGTCAATTTCTCCCTTTATGTCTGTTAATAATTGCCTTATTTAGGTGCTTCTCTGTTGAGTGCATAGATATTTACAATTTTATATCCTTTTGTTGGATCGTTCCCTTTATCATAATAGAGTGCCCCACTTTGTGTCTTGTCACAATCTTTGTTTTAAAGCCTGCTTTGTCTGATATAAATATTGCTGCCTCATTTGTTTTTGTTTTGTTTTTGTTTTGCATTCATTTGCATGGTATGTGTTTTTCCATCCCTTCACTTTCCATCTGCATGTATCTTTAGGTCTGAAGTGAGTCTTATAGACAGCACATAGAGGGATCTTGTTTTCTATATCCATTCAGTCACCCTATGTCTTTTGATTGAAGCATTTAGTCCATTTACATTTAAAGTAATTATTGATAGGTGTGTACTTATTGCCACTTTGTTTCTTGTTTTTTAGTTATTTTTGTAATTCTCTCTTCTTCTCTTGCTCTTTTCCCTTGTGATGTGATGGTTTTCTTTAGTGATATGCTTAGATTCCTTTCTCTTTGTTTTTTCTGTATCTATTCTAGGTTTTTGATTTGTGGTTACCATTAGGTTTCTATATAACATCTTATGCATATGGCAGTCATTGTTAAGTTGATGGTTACTTAAGTTTAAACCCGTTCTTAAAGTATTAAATTATAATCCCTCCACATTTTATGTATGTGTTATGATATTGTACATCCTTATTCTGATTTTTGTAGAGGTAATTGATTTTACTACTTTTATGTTTTAACCTCCATACTGGTTTTGTAAGTGATTGATCTAGTACTTTTATTATATGTTTGCATTCACCTGTGAGTTTTTTCTCTTTCACAGTTTTCTTCTAGTTACTGCCTTTTCTTTCCACCCAAGCAAGCCTTTAATATTTCTTGTAATGCTGCTTTATTGGTGATGAACTCCTTTAACTTTTGTTTGTTGGGGAACTCTTTATCTCTTTTTCTATTCTAAATAATAACCTTTCTGGGTAGATTGTTCTTGATTGCAGGTTTTTTTCCTTTGAATATATCATGCCACTCCTTTCTGGCTTGTAAAGTTTCTGCTGAAAAATCAACTGATAGCCTTATGGGATTTTCCTTGTAGGTACTTGTTTTATTTTCTCTTGCTGCTTATGAAATTCTCTATCACTATTTTTTTTTTTTTTTTTGCCATTTTAATTAAATCTGTCTGGGTGTGGCTCTCCTTGGGTTAATTTTGTTAGGAGTTTTTCCAGAATCTGGATGTCTATTTCCTTCCCCAGATTAGGGAAGTTTTCAGCTACTATTTCTTTAGAAGAGTTGTTTGCTCCCTTCTCTCTTCCTTCTCCTTCTGGGATCTCTATAATGTCATGCTGTTATGCTTGATGATGTCACTGAGTTCCCTTAACCTATTCTCATTTTTCATTATTCTATGTTCTTTTTGTTCTTCAGCTTGGTTGCTTTCCATTACTCTGTCTTCCAGATTGCCCACCTGTTCTTCTGCATCCTCCAGTCTGCTCTTGATTCCCTCTACCATATGTTTTGTTTGTTAATCAGTTCTACATCTCTAACGGGTTCCTTTTTATATTTTTCTATCTCTTTGTTAAAGGTCTCCCTGAGATCCTCCACTCTTTTCTCAAGTCTAGTGAGTATCTTTATGATCATTACTTCAAATTGTTTATCAGGTGTTCCTAATCTCCATTTCATTTTTCCTTACTCTCTGTTTTCTATGTATTAGGAAGGTCGGTTATATTTCCTGGTCTTGAAAGTAGTAGTCTTGTAAAGAAGAGGTCCAGTGGTGCCCTATAGCACAATGCCCTCTGGTCATCAGAACCCGGCATCCCAAGTGCATCTCCTCTGTGCACTACACATGTTCTACTATTGTGGCTGAACCCTATTTGCTCAGTCCAGTCAATTGCAATGACCTACTTTGCCTGCTGTGAATGCACTGGGCAGGGTTTGATCTCTCACTGTTGAGTAGCCTTTTTGCGGTCACCATGGGCTTGTAGATGGGTGATGTCAGTAGTCAGACTAGCTGTCCACACTCAGTTTGTCTGCTGCAGCTTCTTGTGCACTGAACAGCTGGGCCATCTCCCTGCATAGCCAGCTAAAAACCTCACCTGCTAGAGCTGTGAGAGCACTGGTGTGTGGGGTTGTCTCCCTTTCCCTCTAGGGCAGGAATCACTTTCCTGGGGCACTAGTCCCTGCTGGGGCTGCTTGAAGGGTGTGGCAAGGCAGGAGTTGCTTTGGAGGGATATCTGCTAAGATGGGTGGTTTGGATAGGGCAGGACCATAGGGGAATGTGAGGGCAGGACGTGCAGTGCCACCAAGATAGGCGGAGAGAGTTTGGACTGGTTCCCGCAAACGTACGGCTGTCTAAGCTGGGGGGAGGCAAGAGAAAAGGTGCCAAACAGCACTTTTGTTCTTGGAGAAGTCTCCTGAAGATCTCTTCTCCTCAAAAGTATGTTCTGAGATTGGTAAATGAATCTCCTTTATGTAACACCCCATGTGCTTTTCAAATTGCTGTTTCTATGCTGTGTCTCAGCAGAGCTATTTAGTATGTTGGCTCTGTAAGGGTGGAAACTCAGTTTCCTCTTGCCTTCTGGCCCTCCCTGAACTAAGCCCACTGGTTTTTAAAGTACCTGGAATTAAGCTTCGCTAATTCTGAAAGCTCAGGAAGTTAAGCTTCCCTGGTTTTCAAACTAAATGTTATGGGGATTTGTCTTCCCAGCATAGGTCCCCGGTGCCTGGGGTGCCTGGGGTGGGTCTGAACCTCCCCCTTCTCCTAGCTTGTGGATTCCCTCCTATCTGTGGTTAGTCTCACCATGGGTGTGGTTCCCAACCGTGTCTCTGCCCCTCTTACTCTTTTACACGTGGCCTCTCTATGATTAACTGTGGAAGTTCTGTTCTGCCAATTTGGGTTTTTTTTTTTTTTTCCAGAGTTAGTTGTACACATGTAGCTGTTATCTTTGTAGGCCCATGAAATGAAGTGAGCTCATCCTCCTCCTCCTCTGCCATCTTCCTCTGAACTCTCCTCGACATTTGATTGTCTTGATGTTTCTTGTAGGAGGAAATTATTTAGCATTGGTCCTCCTGTGATTGAGTTATTTCACTTCACATGTTTTCCGGGTCCACCCATGTGTTGCAAACAGTAGGGCTTCCTTCCTTTTTCAACACTGAATAATATTCCAGTGTCTGTTATACCACGATTTCTAGACCCATTTCTATATCCATCCATCTGTTAATGAGCACGGGGGTTACTTTCACAACTTGGCTGTTGTGAAATGCTATAATGAACATGGGAATGTAGAAATTTCTTCAAGATCCTGATTTCAGTTCATTTAGATGAATACCCATAAGTGGGTTTGCCCCATCATGTGGTAGTTCTATGTTTTAATATTTTGAAGAACCTCCGTAAGATTTTTCATAGCGGCTGCACCATTTTCCATCCCCACTAACTGTATACAAAGGTTCCAGTTTCTCCATATCCATCGTAACCACCTTATTATTTTGGAGGGTGGGTATGTGGAATAATAGTTATCCTAACAGGTGTTGTCTTATTCCAGATTTTAGGGGAAAAGATTTTGGCTTTTTACCATTGATCGCAATGTGGGCTGTGGGCTTTTCATATATGGCTTTTATTGAGTTGAGGTAAGTTCCTTCCATACTTTTTATTTATTTTTCGAGAGTATCATGAAAAGATGCTGAATTTTGTCAAGTAATTTTTTTTTGCACTTACTTTAAATGATCATGTGATTTTTGTCTTTCATTCTGTCAATGTGATGTGTTACCTTGTTTGATCATGTGTATTGGTCCATCCTTGTGTCCGAGGGATAAATCTCACTCGATTAGGGTGTATGATCCATATACCATTACTGTGCTGTCGGGTTAGGTTTGCTAATATTTTGTTGAGGATTTTTGCATCCATGTTCATCAAGTATATTGGCCTGTAGTTTTCTTGTGGTGTTTTGTCTGGTGTTGATATCAGGGTGATGCTGGCCTATACAATGAGTTTGGAAGTGTTCCCTCCATTTTTTTGGAAGAATTTAAGAAGGATTGCTATTAATTATTTTTAAATGTTTGATCGAATTTGATGGGGTCCTTGAGCAAATGGCTAAGATAGAATTCTTGAGATGTCTTTGGTGTAAAAAGGTAATTTTATTAAAGCACGGGGACAGGGCCCGAGGGCAGAAAGAGCTGCATTGGGGTTATGAGGAGTGACTGATTATATACTTTTAAGTTAGTGGGGGTTAGGGATTAAGTCTCTAAGGAGAAAGCTCTAAGGCTTTCAAGACCTTGAGGGGCTAGCTGCTGTTAGGATAAGGTAACTCTTAGTCTTTAGTAAAACAGAAACACTAAGGCAATGAGGCAGCCATGATTTCCCTGAGCAAGGTGACACTCTGTACATTTTGGGTGTCTGTCAGTGGGCCGCAAGCTGTAAGGAGATGGAATTTAAGCTACATTTCTCTTGCTTTTGTGTCCCTCATCATTTCCGCCCTGAACAGTTAGACCCTTAAATCTTTAAGGTTGTTGAAGGTGGAAGATCTCATCTTCTGAATCTTCTTCCTGCCGACTTAGGGGTGTAGAGATGTCCCGTACCTATGGGTCAAGGTTGGTCAGTTGAGAATTTAATAGGAGTTAGAAAAGGCTAAGGCAGCTGTAGCTAGAGTTGATAACATATGGGAGTCTCCTTGAGCAGAAAGGATTATCTGTTGGCTTGAAGTTGTGGCAGCAAAGGAGTCTTGGCACCAGATGGAGAGACATGGGAGAGAACAGCAAAACATGATTAAAATAACACAAAGAAAAAGAAGCCCACATAAGAGTCCTTTGATAGTCGACACAAATCTTTCTTTTGTCCAGGAATTGAACTCATTATTAAAGGAAAGAGAGAGATCATTTAAAGTGCCAATCTGAGTATTTGTCAGTTAGAAACTCGGAAATATTTTTGCAGCAATCTGGACTGTATACACAGCATTCTGTTTTTATGAGACCATAAGCTCTACCTTGTGCAGCAGCGAAAACATTAATGCCATTTTATTTTGTAGAACTGTCCAATGCACTGGAGTTATTTTCGTGTTTAATAATGCAATGTTATCTTGAGAGTCATTTAAGGCCTTGATTATGTAACAGGTGGTGTTAACTATCATACTGATTTCATTTTGCTTAGTAATTAATCAGGTAATTAATAAGAGGCACTTGTAGAGAAACAAGTCTATAGGTTAATGGTTAGAGCAAATTACCAACCCAATAACTGTCAGAAGACTTTGAGATGTCTGGCCTGCGACATTCTCAGATGGAGTGGGGATGGGCAGTGGGAATCAGATGGGTTTTGGTTGGTTGGCTGGTTGGTTGGTTTGTAACTCAAATGCCTGTGATGTTCCTTTTTTTTTTTTTTTTTTTGTTGGTATTTCTTTCATAGTTTTTATTTTTTTTTAATTTTTTTAAAATTTTTTTATTATTATTTTTTTAATATATGAAATTTATTGTCAAATTGATTTCCATACAACACCCAGTGCTCATCCCAAAAGGTGCCCTCCTCAATACCCATCACCCACCCTCTCCTCCCTCCCATCCCCCATCAACCCTCAGTTTGTTCTTAGTTTTTTTT